TCAAGGGCGCTTGGGTCGCGACGATCACGCGAGAGTGTGCCAACAAGGGCAAAACGATCGAGATGGATGTGAAGAAACTTACCAAGAAGAAGTGGCAGTCGGCGCAGTCGTCGAAGGGCTATGACTACGAGTGGGAGGGCATGACGCAGCAACAGCGCAAGCAAGCGGCTCTGGATTACCTCGAGCTCCAAGTCCCCAATCTGTTCGACTGAGGCCCGAAGCCGCATGGCCCGCAGTTGCGGTGGGGCTACTGAGTGCCCGCAGTTGCGGGGCGGCTGGGTGCGAGTGGAAACGCGGAGGGCGAGGCGGTGTGAGGAGGCAGGCGGAAGGCGAAGGGGCGCCGTCGCGTTTTTGTCTAGGGTGTTCCACGGGTGCACGCCTAAGTGCGCCAACTTGTGCGGGCGAGCGTGTTTCTTAGAGAAGCATTGAGTGAAGCATCGAGACCCTGTGCGCGCGATGATTGGGGCTTCCGCGCGGGCGTACTTCAACAGTAGCTCCTCCCTCCTCCCCTCCTTCTTCGCCCCTCCGCATCGTCTGCAGTTGCTCCTCCCTCCTCTCCTCCCTCTTCCTAGTTCTGTATCCCGCAGCCGCGTGCCCCGCCCGAGTCGTTCGCCACGCGACCGCGCATGAATGTTCCCGTGGGGCGGACATGGTATGGCGAGGAGGACGGAACGCATTTCGAGGTGGAGTGGCTCCCTTACGACAGCGGCCGCGCCCGAGGAAAAGGGGGAGGAGGAGGAGGAGGGAGAGGAAAAGGGGGAGGAGGAGGAGGAGGAAGAAGGGGAGGAGGAGGAGGAGGAGGAGGAGGAGGAGGAGGAGGAGGAAGAGGAGGAGGACGAGGAGGAGGAGAAGGAGGAGAGGGAGAAGGGGGAGGGGGATAGGAGGACGAGGACGGAGAAATAGGACAGATGAGGAGGAGGAGGCGGAGGAGGAGGAGGACGAGGAGGAGAAGCAGGAAGAGGAGGAGGAGAGGGGGGAGGAAGAGTGCGCATGAGACGGAGAGAACGATGTAGAGAGGGAACGGGGGAGGAGGGAGGACAAGGAAGAGGATACAGCGACGAGAAGAGGAGAAGGAACAGGCGAAGGCTCCTGCTGATCGCATTTCCGCATCGTTCAAAGCAGTGCCGGGGCACTGCTTTGAACGACTGGCGTTGTTCAAAGCAGTTCCCCGGCACTGTGGTCGTCGACGCCATTATAAAGGCTTTCGGATTATGTTCCCATATGTTCGGAGGAATCGACGATTAACTGTGTCTGTGTGATGCTGTTCCCTCCTGAATAAGTGCGGTGGAGGTCATCAATTGTCTCTCGCTGGACACGTATCGGTTATTGGACATATGCCAGTATGGATGCGAGCGACTAGCAGTCGTATGGCGTCCCCAGGACATCCTCCAGCATGTTGTTCCAATATGCTGCCCCAGAGCTCCCGACCTCTTCCCTGTGGGTAGTTTTGAGCCCCAGGTCGATGTTGGATGGTTGCGGGATCCGAAGGCGGCTGACCTCTTGAGTCGTTGAGTCGACGCTGGTCTAAATAGTCTGGGTGTTGCCTGTTTGGTGCGTGCCATGCTGCTGCAGGTCTGCTTGGATCCTGGATGTCGACTGGCTTGAATGTTGCTCGTCTGGCCTGCATTTGCCGCATGTGCCCGATCTGCCCCGTGAACTCTCGAGACCGACCTGATCCAGCTTGGTCCCCTGCATGGCGAGATCACGTTCCACGCCCCGTTGCTTCGATGACGCAGGCCCTGGTTCCTGACACCGCGCGAACTGTTCAATCACGAGCGATTCCCGCCTCCCAGAGGCTCCCAGAGGCTGTCAACCTCGCCCTCCGCAGGAACGTCGCGCCGCGGGTTGCCTTCTTTGGGCCCCGGGGCCCGGGCTGGCCCCCCGGAGGGACCCGCTCGGGGGGACGAACGTCGCCTTGGCATCGGCGCTGCATCGCCGATAGATGGGCGATCGGCCCTCGGTGGCGGCGGAACCGCGGTGTTTTGCAGGGCGGAGTGGGGAACCCGGGGCCTCGATCTCAAGGACGAGTGGGCGATGGGAGGTCGAGATCCCCCCAGTGGACCAGCCGCCCCCCCCCCCTCCTGTCGTCCCAGAGAGACGGAGGATCTGAAGGGGCCCTGGGACACACAAATCAACAGACACAAACAACAGGATTCCTTACATTTTCCCATATGTTCTGGGTCTTTGTCCCCCCCCACTTCTCTCATATTTTCCCCTATTTTCTGGGGGATCGACGACTAGTTGTGTCTGTGTGTTTTTTGTTCCCTCCCGAGGATCTGCGGCCGAGAGGTGCTGCCTCGCGTGCCGCGGCGGCCCCCGCGACGCGCCCGTGCCCTGCGAGCCGGCCGGCGCGTCGCCCTGCCCCCGTGGGACGGGAGGGCCGGGGAGCGATCGGAACGTGGCTGCTTGTGTCGGGGAGACGTAAGACCCGGGTACGGGGGACTCGGAAATCCCCGACGAGGTCGTCAAAAAAGTGACGAGGCCGAGCCTGCATTTTGACGAGGCCTCCCGCTACAAACATCCCACAAAACTCCTCCTCGTCAAAATCCGAGTCGCGGTCGTCAAAAAACGATGGCGAACCCGAGTCCTGGCAAACCCGGGTCTTACGCTTCCCCGATTGTGGGGACTGGGATTATTAAGTCGGGCCTGGCCCTCTACAGGGGGGAGCATTCCAAAAATAATAAAAAAATGGTCTGGGGGCTATTTTTGGACTAGTTTTGAACATTTTTGGGCATATGTTTGGGGCATGTTTCATTTTTCGTCCAAAATCTCCCTGTGGGAGGACAGGCCCGACTTCAGACTGGGACGTGCTCCCAGACATCCCGGCGTCTCGGTTCCTTCGAGACGCGGGCCCCCGGTCTCGCGACCACTGCCCTCGGGCCGGCTTCTCGTCCCAAGCCATGCTGCTGACGGCCCCGAGGCCCGGTGAGGGCCCCGAGAGGCCGAAAACAGGGCAGGTTCGTCCGCCTCGGTTCCTTCGACAACGCCGGACGTCTGGGCTTGGTGAGTCGCGCTGGAGCGTCGTGGGCCAGAACGGGCGGCGGCAGGGAGGGCGCCACGCTGGTCCCTGCTGGAGGCGGCCAGGGGCCTGAACTGGATGTGACCCCAGGAAATCAGCCAGAAGAGGGGAGGCCGAAGCCAAATGCGCTTAAAATCAATCCCAGGACCACCACGGAGCCCATCTGGTGAAGCCTTTCACCCCAGATCAGTTTTTGACGACCCCGCGAGGCCCGAAGACGGCCCCCAGAGGCCGAACACAAGGCAAAACCCTTCCCGATGCCAGAGAGGAGCCTCGAACCCGTCCCCCTTCCTGCGGGCCAGAACCGGTGCTGGGCCACCTCGGACCCCCAGCTGGCCCCAGCACACACACGCTGGTCGGCGTCACGGCCGCGCGCGCCGCGGCGCGGCGCAGCACGTGGTCCAGCAATGGCGAGACGCGCGCGGGGGCCGGCCCAGGACGCGCGGCGCGTGGAGATGCCGGGTCCCCCCGCAGGGGATCAGCCACAGCACTCGCGAGGGGGCCCTCGCGCGGGGAGGAGCAGGGGAGCCGGGGGAACAAAAAAGCACGGAAGAGCATGGCGGCAGTGCGAGGCGAGCAGGGCCCGCAACGGCAGGGCGCGCACAGGATGATGTACCTCACAGGAAGGGAGCCCGGTGGGCAGGAAGGCGCAGGGGGTGGGGGGGGGAGACAACGACAGCGATGGCAGTAGTGCCGTAAGGCGGGACGAGGCGAGTCGGGGACACATGCACGCACACACGACCGCCAACAAAAATGCCCTAGCGAAGGACCCAACCAGATACAGTTGTGACTACCGCAGGTACGTGTATCGTGTTCGATGGAGCTCCCTATGGGGCCACGAAACGTGTGAGGGGTGTGCCGACATGGGCGCGTCGATTGCATGCGAGCGCGGCCACCGGGGGCTTCGGTGGAGTTCCCTACTGGGCAACGGAACGTGTCAGGGGCGGGCCGAAACAATGATGATGATGATGATAATGATGATGATGATGATGATGATGATGATGATGATGATGATGATGATGATGGTCATGATGATGATGATGATGATGATGATGATGATGGTGATGATGATGATGAAGAAGAGAATGAAGATGATGATGATGATGCCGATGGTGACAATGATGATCATGATGATGACGATGATGATGAGGATGATGATGATGATGCTGCTGCTGATGGTGGTAATGATAATGAATGTGGTGATGATGATGCTGACGCTGACGCTGATGATGATTAGTGTTATGATAATAATGGTAATGCTGATGGCGATGGTGATGGCGGTGATGATGATGACGATGGTGATGGTGATTATGATGTTGATGCGGATGACGGTGATAATGGTTATGGTGATGATAATGGTGATGATGATGGTGATGATGATGATTACGATGCTACTTGTGCTGATGATGATGGTGATCCAGGTGGTGGTGGTGGTGATGCTGATGGTGATACTTTTGCTGGTGATGACGGGGGGCGGGGGTACTGATGATCATGCTGATTATGGTGATGGGGATGGTGATGATAGTACTGAGGATGATGATGATGATGATGATGATGATGGCAATGTTAATTATAACAAGAACGATGTCGATGCCGATACTATTACTGATGATGATGACGCTGATAATGATGATGCTGCTGATGGTACTGAGCTGATGCTGATGATGATGATGACGTCGATAATGATGATGCTGTTGCAACTGATGCTGAAGCTGATGCTGATGTTGATGCTGCCGATGATGATGGAGATGATGATGGTGATGATGATGCTGCTGATGATGATGGAGATGGTGATGGTGATGATGATGCTGCTGCTGCTGATGATGGTTATTTTTTATGTGCGGAGAGCAGAGGCAGGCATGGGAGGAGGAGAGGGAGGAGAGGGAAGAGAATGAGGAAGGAGACGCGGGGCGATGCGTATCCAAAAGGAGGGAGGGCCCACCACCACAAGATGGCTGGGAAAAGAAACCTCGCGCGCGGCGTCCTGGCAGACCGCGCGCGGCGCACAGAACTCCTCCGTGCTCTCAGCGCGCGGGTTCCCGCGCGGCGCCAGGCCCACGCGGCCACTGGGCGCGCCACGGGGCCCGTCGTCGGCGCCCTCGCCGGCGCCATCGTTGTCGCCGGCGTCGCCATCGCCGCCGTCGCCGTCGCCGTCGTCGTCCTCGCCGGCGACGCCGCCGTTGTCGCCGCCGTCGCCGTCACCGGCGTCGGCGTCGTCGTCGCCGGCGCCGCCGTCGTCGTCGTCGGCGCCCTCGCCGGCGCCGTCGTCGTCGCCGGCGTCGCGGGCGTCGCCGCCGATGCTGCCGCTGGCATCGTCGTTGTCGTCGCCGCCCAACTCGCCGCCGCTGTCAGCAACACGCTCCACTGACTGGGAGAGCCCCGCGGCGCCACAAGAAGACACCAGGTGGGGTCTCTCAAATGCCTGGCGCTCTGGTTTGCCCTGGATGGCCCTTAAGAGCGCCATCGCGGCCAGAAGGGCCCAAGGCCTCGAAGACGACCCTATGAGGCTCCGAAGACGGCCTCAGTAGCCTAAGACGGCCGACAATAGCTGCCAGATGCCTCCAGGATGGCCCTGAGACGCCCCAGGGATGGCAAGAAGACAGTAAACACCTTGTGAGCAATGCTTCCAAAGATTTCGAAGGATCGCTTCCAGCCGCGCCCCAGAGTCCCCGAGATTGCCCAAAACGGCAATGAGCTGACCCCAAAAGGTCCCAAGAAGTTGCCCAAATCGCCCAGGATGGCCCCAACAAGGCCCCAAGATGGCGCAACGATACCTCAACTTGACCCCATAGGCTTCAAGATAATCCCAAGATTGCTCAAGATGGCCCCAAGACGGGCCCGAGGCCTGAAGATGCCCCCAAGGGCTCCACGATGGCCCCCAAACTGTTCCAGTCTAGCCACAAGATAGCTCAGCCTGGGGAGCTAGCGGCAAATCACGCAACTCTCTCTCCCTCTCTCTCTCTCTCTCTTTTCCTCTCTCTCTCTCTCTTCCCCTCTCTCTCTCTCTCTTCCTCTCTCTCTCTTTCTCTTTTTCTCTTCTCTCTCTCTCTCTCTCTCTCTCTCTATGTATATAGACATACATATAGACATCTATGTATATATATATATATATATATATATATAGATATGGTCGCCCCCCCCCCCCCCCCCCCGCACCCCAAACCACCAAAACCACCAAACGTTCACTGATCGTTCGCATCTTGTCCTCCTCCTCCTCGTTCCGCCTCCTCCTGCTCCTCCGCCCCCGCCTCGTCATCCTCCTTTCTCACGCCAGAAGAGCGACAGGAAAGCTGAGAACCATTGCGTCTTTCAAGTTTTCTGGATCGTGTAGTTGAAATTCAATGCAGTGGTTGTGTTCCTGAATTCTCACATGTTTTCGGTGAGACTAGAGATTTGGAACGTTTGTAGTTTCCTCAAGAGACTGCACAGACTGGCCAATCCCTCAATGAAATCTGGAACCTTCGAAAACTCGGGGGACAACACACCGTCCTTTTATTTTCACCGAAGATGCGAAACATCTGACAAGGTTGGAAACACAACGAACTTTCCAACTGCACGATCTGGAACACCTGAAATACACAATGGTTGTCAGCTGCAGCGCCTCTCTGTCGGTCTATCTGTCTCTGTCAATGTGTTGTCTCTCTCTCTCTCTGTTTTTCTTGCGATCTCCCTCCCTCCTCCTCTGCATCCGCCTCCTCTTCAGCTTACATTGGGAGGATGGCGGTGATGAGGAGGGGGGAGAGAGGAGAAGTGATATGAGGAAGAGAGGGGGCAGGAGGAGAAGTAGGAGGACGACGAGCAGGAAGTTGAGCATCAAGTGTGTTCCTCCTTCTCCTCCTTCTCCTCCCGCTTCGATCATTCTTCCTCCCCCTCCCCCTCCGTCTACTACGTATGTCCTCATCCTCATCCTTCGATCGCCCCTCATTATCCGCCTCCCCCCTCCTATGCCGAAAAGAACGATGACAAACAGTGCACTGAGGAGAGCGAAGGAATGCGGAGGAGGAGAGCGTGTGCCAGGAGGAAGAGACAGTGGTTGAGGAGTCACTCCTCCTTCTCCTCCTCCTCCTTCACCCCCTCCCCCTGTGCGCCCTCATCTTGTCCCTCCTCCTCCTTGCCTTCCTGTCAAATGTATGAAAAAGTCATCGTCGTGCTCATCTGGCCTGCAGGAAAAAGAGAAGGAAAAACAATAATTGGTGGATAGAAAGCGGGGGGGAAGACGAGGGGAATTAGGCATAAGAGCTGTATGTGCTATGAGGAGGAGATGGAGGAGCAGGCTGAGGCGGACGCTGAGGAGACACTCGTCCTCCCTCTCGTCCACCTCCTCCTCCTCCTCCTCCTCCTCCTCCTCCTCATCCTGCTCATCCTCCTCCTCCTCCTCCTCCTCATCCGCCTCAGCCTCCTGCCCCCCGTGATCCCGCCAACCCTCATCCCCCCAGTTCGAACACGCCCGCTCCTGCGCAGCCTCCCCCTGCCCCGTCGGCCCCGCCCCCCCCGTGTCTCTCCAGCATGGGAGGCGGAGGCGGAGGAGGGAGGAGTATTAGGATGATGGTGATGGTGGTGGTGGTGATGATGATGATGCTGATAATCCAAGGGCTCCCAACTTCGCACTTCGCGCTGCGCGAAGCGCGAACAACTTCGCGCTCTCGCGCCGCCTCCCAAGGGAGAAGAGGAGCCCGATCCCACCTGGCAGGTCATCCGAGGCGCCCACACCGCCCGATGCCCTATCGCCGCGCCAGAGACCGCGCCCTGGCATCCCGTCGGCAGATAAGGCGGAACCAGCCTGCAGCAAGCCGAATGGCTCGCGAAGTGCTTTGGGCCCCCTCGGACCTGAGCTTATTAAACGTGTTTTAAAAAAGACATCGTGTGCAATGGCGATGGAGACGATTTCTTCGCATGAGAGAGGCATAGAAAAAAGAAGGAACCCAGCAAACACCCCCGCCCCCCACCATGGTGGGAGCCTAAGCAGATTGGCACGCATCACTCCGAGAAGAGCGGGACAGACAAGGTAATGCACGATCTGGTCACCAGCAATACATTGGCATCCGAACCTGCATCCGAGGGTGGCCTGGCGGTATCTCCGTGAGGTATTCCAGGCGTTACAGATACTGCGCAGCAGACTGAGTTGAACGAAGGGGGCAATGTGCTGGCCGACCACTTTTAGCCGAGAGAAACACAGTTGGGCTTCAGGAGCCCCAACTGGGCCAACTCCAGGAAACCGCAAGGCCCAGTGCTGGAGACGCCTCAGGATAAGCTCTGGAAGCGGAACAAGGGGTTGATGTGAAAGCAAAAGCTTGGTCATTTTCTTCTGAAGCCCAGGTTCGAAGACGGTGGGGGCGGACGGGATCCTGGATAATTCACGATAGTTCTTGGTCATCATTAAAACGAAAGACTTGGTATGAACGGGATGAAGATGCGCATCCAGGTGGCGTTCGGGGTCATCGAACGCGTCCTCAATTTTCTCGACGCAGGCGAAAAAGACCGACGAGGCGAGGGTAGCACCATATGCAGCGGCCCGAGCTTCGCGGGTGAGAGACCTGACCCGAGATAGGTTTTCCCCCGATAGACTTCATTCCCACCAACATGTGATCTGACAGGGCATGCCGAGGAGCACATGTTAGAGACTGCAGACCGAGATGCACCTGCCAGCTGCACTCGGCCGAGGGCGGAAAGAACTGGGCGATGCACATGAGCACAGTGACTGCTATCTGGTTGTACGCCACGAGAGACATCGACAGGCCTAACTTCAAAGACTTAATGAAGCGGCAGCGGTCGCGGAACTTGACCAGCGGGGCGGCCCAAGACCCCTCTTGGGCTCTGATCCCGCACATCACACCAAGATACTTGGCACGTTTGGACATCCCGAAGCTGCGGACCCTGATCCCCTGCCGTTGGAACTTCCTCTCTTCCTCCTCCCTGTTAAAGTCGCGGCTAAAATAGTACCACCGTTTTTCTGAGGTTCGGGATGAGGCCCGCGGCGAGCCCTGCAAGCATCATAACTTTCATGAAAATGGGCGCGGCCGCGTAGATGTCAAAGGCGGCGGAGGCAACGTCGTCGGCGAAGGTGCCGTGCATATGGACAGGCCGAGGCAGCCGAAGACAGAGCAGGCGTAACATCGGATCTAACCCCAGTGCGAACACGCTTCCCGAGAGCGGACATCCTTGCTTTATCCCGCGGAGGATCCGAAAAGAGCAGTGAGACACCCCGCCAAGGAGAATGGCGGTGGTAACCTTGGCATAGAGCGTCTTTATCGCATTCGGCACAAACTCGGGGAAAATCATTTTCTCGAATACGAAAAATATCCGTTCATGGCATAAGCTGGGGAAGGCGGCCTTAATGTCCAGCAGGATAGCGCCTGCTGTCTGTCGCCGCAAAAGGCCTGCTCCTACGACCATGTGGGTCTCAAACTCAACCAGGTTGTCTAGCATGTTACGGTGTTTGACGAAGTCCTTTTGGATCCCAATAGTGGCGTCCACGCAAACCTCCTTCAGGCGGCAGTTAATCGCGACAGCGACAATTTTGTTGATCGAGTTGGAGAGGGAGATGGGGCGGGCCATGTCAGGGGCCCCCCAGAGCTCGAACCCGTCGCGGTCCAGGGAACCTCTGGGGAAGAAGACCGAGTTGCTGAGGTTGGAATCGTCGGAAACCTGGCCGAAATCCATGATATGCTGGTGCATGGCGAAGGCGGCCCACCTAACGCATGAGTTCTCTTTGGGCCAGGCAGAGTAACATAGCCCGTCAGGGCCAGGGGCGGAATCGTGGAGCCGATCCACAACTCCGTAAAACTGCTCTTCAGAACGCCTCCAACTCTGGGCCTCCCTCACTTTTTGAATATGTTCCTCTAGCTGGTCCCTCGCGGCAATTTGAAATCACACAGAGGCGTGAACTTGGCTCCAGTGAGCGGCGAGCGCACGAGCTCCAGCCTCAGCAGTCGGGAAAGCGTTCCCCTCGGCATCCGCGATGCCCGTGAGGAATATTCTCCTATTCTTCGGAGACCATGCCGATGCCAATCTCTGAAGACGCGCAGCTCGGTGCTCATAGAATTGGGGGGATTCCGTGGTGTGACCGATGATTTCCTCGTATTCTTTTTGGTGCCGAGCGGCAGCAATCTTGGCCATGTACTCTTGAAAAGCTGACTGGTTGTGCCACATGCCACTGTCAGGGTCGAGAAAGTTGAGCAGCACGGGGATGGCCTTGACAGCCTTCTTCAGCGCGCTTGTCTTGTGGCTCCGCATGGCGCGATTCACCGCGAACAGCCACTGCAAATGCTGCTCGGCGGAGCTGGGCGGAAGCTCAGAAAGACGATGCTGAACGAGACGGCCTGCTTCGTGCATGAGGCACGTGAGCTCTTCAACCATCAGTGGCGGATTATCTTCGCATACCCCGTGCTCGTTGATAAGCTTTTCGAGCAGGATCGGATGCAGAGGGTGACGAGAAACCCACGAGGCGACGGCCCGAGCGCGGTTTTCTCCGCCTCCGTTCAGACGCAGGTACACCGGTGCGTGGTCGCTCGGGAGGTCGGCTTTACAGATATTCCAGGAGGTCCCAGAGGTCGGTTTCAAATCCAAGAGGTCCCCAGTGAACATATTGGTATAAATACGGTCGATCCTGGATACACTAACCACGTTTCCATTCCGAGTGGTGTGGTGGGTCGGATTCTCTTGGTAGCATTCCATAACATTAGGCAATAACGACCAGAACTTGTGGGCAAGGGAGTCGGGGCTGTTGATCTGCACAGAGCCGCCTACTCGCTGGGTGCCCTCGCCCAGCTCGCAAAAGTTGAAGTCTCCAACAAAGAAGAAGAGGCCCTGGACAGTATGCAAAAAATCGGCGCACAAGCGAAGAATCCTAATTTTCTCTCCGTGGCGGCAACTCGGGTCGAGATGGAGGTTCAGGATGGTGAGCGAGAAAGAGTCGGACTTGATGGTGACGGCATGGAGACGCCCAGAAATAATCACAGTATGTTGATGTTGAGGAAGCAGAGCGGGAAGAGAGCGAGCAAGCATGATCGCATTCCCGCCAGCGTGGCTGTCGGGGCAGAACGTACAGAACGATTCGTAGCCAGGGAACTCGGTACGCAACGATTCGCGGCCCCCTTCATGGCCGTGCGTTTCTTGTAAGCAAATGATGTTGTTTGCTCTAGTTAGGTTAGTAAGTCGTTCGAAGGTCTTGACCTGAGCGTCGTGGTCCCCAGAGACCGCGCCGAACAGGGTATGACAATTCCAAGTAGCAATCCGAATGCCTCGACCGTTGGCCAGGGACGGCGGAAAATAGAGGCGAGAACTGGCTGGGTTCTCAAGCGAAGGTGGCTGGGCCCCAAAAACCATTCGACAGAGACGGCGAGCGGCGGGCAGAGGATTCGGGCGACAGAGGCAGCGAAGAAGTGGGAAAAGGCGAAAAATTGGCACACGATACTAGGCTGGCGTCACTTCAGTGCTGCTGGACGGAGGCCTGGGCCTGCTCGGCCATCCAATTGGCGGTCGACTCGGTGATGCTCCACTCGGAGAGCTGGTCGTTGACCGGCTTCAGCTCGTACATACCTCCAGGAGCATCGGACAACTTGAAGATCTCCCAGTGGTCATTCTCGGTGGTGATACTGAACACGCCTTTGAGCGGGTTGGTGCCGATCTTGATTGTCGGGCTCCACTTGCCTGCGTTCTCGAGGTGCTTGCGGACGAGCGGCCAGAGGGCGCTCAGGACGCGGTTCTTCTGGCGGGCTTGCAGCGGCATATCTCTGCGGCAGCGCAGTGGATGAAGGGATGTGTTGCGATAGTCCTGCCACGTCACGGGATTCGCGAGGAACCAGTCGTGGAAGTCGCGGGCCTTCTGCTCGGAGTTGAAGGTGACGGCAAACGCTTTCGATACTTTGTGGAAATGTCCTGTCATCCCTTCGCTGATGGCGGCGGGAAGTCGGCTTTTCATCTGGTTGAAGACTGTGCGCCTATACGGCTCGGTGACTGGGCGAGGGAAACCACTGATCCACCGCCTGGTCGGGTCGATCTGGTTGTGCTCATCGCTGGCGAGGTCGATCATGGGAATCTCGGAAGAGCTGGAGCCAGCGGTGGTGCCCCTTCCCAGGCGACGAGACTTAGATGGTGGCCGAGTTGAAGCGGAGCCTGCATCGGACGGAGCTCGTTGAAGTTCGGCAAGAGACGCTTCGAGTCTGGCCATCTTCTCATTCATCTGACGTTGAATCTCGAGCCCTGCGTTTTTAGCGGTGGGGTTGCCGTCCTCAGTGTCGAAGAAGGCGGCGTTGGTGGCGGCTTCCTGATGGGCATGCTCGAGTCGAGAAACTTGTAGGTCCATGTCGAGAACGGGGGCTTGGTGAGCGTTTTTGGCCTCTTCGAACTTGCCCTCCATGGCGAGCTCGAGATCGGAAATATTCTCCTCAAGTCCTTCCGCAAGGGCGAGACGCTTCCTGACGTCTTTGATGTCGTCCCTGATGGCGCTCATGCCGCCGTTCATTCCTTCGAGAACCTGAAGCAACTGAGCATTGGATACTTCAGCAGCAGCCATTGCACTGCCAGGGAACAAGCAGAGTCTGGAGAGAGAGATCTGGTGGCGGCGAAATGCCTCAGTGCGCGAAAATGGTCAACCCCCGACCCTTGTGTCGCGGGCCGGGTCGGGAGCAGCCCTGCTCTGACCTGGCCAGCTGCCTTGAGGATATGGCAACTTGAGCCAAAATGGCTTGAGCCAAAATGGCTACGGATCCCAAGGGAGAAGAGGAGGAGGAGGAATCGGAGCCGAAGCGCGAAGCGCGAATAACTTCGCGCCCTGGAGGGCGCCCTTGAGAATCATAGTGAAAAATGAAGAAGATGCAGACGAATCATAATCTTGAGGTGCAGATGATGATGCTGCTGCCGACGATGCTGGTGATAGCGATGATGATGCTGCTGATGACGATGATGACGATGATGATGCTGATGATGATGCTGATAATGATGGGGGTGGAGAGGAGGGGGAGAGGAGGGAAGAGGAGCAGAAGGGGGATAACGGCGAGGGTGGTGCTGATGATACTGCTGATGTGGTTATTGGGGAAGGCGCTCATACTCCCCCTCCTCCTGCTCCTACTCCTCCTCTTTCTTCCACTCCCCTCTCCTCGGCATTACCCTCCTCCGCATACCGGAGATACAATATTATGATACCGAGAGTGAGTAGATGCAGTACCAAGATGGTCATGCTGATGGTGGTGGTTATGGTGCTGCTGAGTAGAATGATGATGATGATGATGATGATGATGATGATGATGATGATGATGATGATGATGATGATGATGATGATGATGATGATGATGATGATGGTGATGCCGATGATTAGGATGGCGATGATGATGCTGCTGATGATGATGATTGCCATGATCAACAGACGGAGGGTGAACGACTCCTGAATCTCTTCGCCATCCTGCAACTCCTTCCCATCTTCATAGCACCCCCTCCTCATCCTACTGTCGATCCCATCGCGTCATCTTTCGACGTGGAGGATCTGATGATGCGGATGGTAATACGGATGGTTATGAGGGGTGTGATGAAACGTAGGGGGGGGTGACTGTATCAGGAAGGTGGCAATAAGGAGGAGGAGGAACAAGATGAAGATCTGCTCGCCAACATCGGTTCCGCTGGTCTCATCACCCTCATCAACATCATCGTCCTCATCTATCTCGCTTCCCCATCTCCTCTTCTTCATCCTACGTCTCTGGCTTCACCTCATACGTATCCATCCTGATGGCCACGCCTCCCTGGAACTACCACAGCGCCTTTGCGTGAGGCATGCGAAACGCCTGAGAGGTCGCCGGAGGCAGGGCTGCAGGACTCGAGGCTGCAGGCTCGCGCCCTCTCGTGGCGCGTGTCGTATGGCACGCGTGATGGCCTCCGTGACCGCCCCCCCCACACGTCTGCATGGGCTCCTTGCCCCAACAAGGCCCGTGGCTCTCACTGCTCACGAGATGGTGTCTCGAGCGCTCCAGGTTCTCCAGCGTCGCGTTTCTGCCAAGCGGTTACCAGCACGCAGGCCAGTTTCGGGATGCTCCTGGGGTCCTCATGTGAGCCCACGACCAAAGAGAGGCTCAAGGCTCGTGCCGATGTGGCCAGAGGGCCCTTCCCATGAGGTCTTAAGCGGTGCAGAGGGCGATGACCACCGCCGACGCCAAGCAGGCTGCTGAGGACACCGTGGCTGGCGCTAAGGCGAGTCAGGGGCCCGATGCGTCAGTGCCTGCCGCTGAAATCATCGTCGAGCTCCATGAGCACCGGGTGAGGGCGACTCGATCGGCCATGGTGTGCTTATTGCCAGTGACCAGGTAGGGAAGCGCAAGCTGCAAGATAATTGTCTTGGACCTTCAGAGCATAAGGCAGACCGATATAAACAAACAGATGCTTTAGCTGCTATACGGAATGGCCGCCACCCTAAATCGGGCTTGCCGTTCAGTCCAGACTAATTCTAGTAATGTATAAGATCGTGCTCCCGCCTGTCGGCTGCACGACTCGGCCTTGCTGTGAGACTTCCCACCCGCGCCTCGTCCTCCTCGTCCTGCTCGTCCTGCTGCTCGTCCTGCTCCTGCACTGCATCGGTCGTCCTGCTCCTGCCCGCTCGCCTCACGTGCCTTTCTGGCTCACTCTCCTCCCCCCACTCGCCCTCATCCTCCTTCACTTCAGAGCCGCCGATAGGGGCGAATAGCCCAGGGGAGAGCAACACGCGTGTCCAGGAACGCCGATGCTCTGTGTCCTCGAAGAGGCTCCAGGGCGAATGCGTGGAATGCCCGCCCCTGGGCTGTTCTACTCTGTAAGAACGGTTTTTTGAAGGCAGATCTGCCTTCAAAAAACCGTTCTTTTGAAGGCAGATCTGCCTTCAAAAAACCGTTTTTTGAAGGCAGATCTGCCTTCAAAAAACCGTTCTTACTTCTTGAAGACAGATCTGCCTTCAAAAAACCGTTTTTTGAAGGCAGATCTGCCTTCAAAAAACCGTTCTTACTATCGTCGCCGCCGACCCCTCATATCATCCTGCGGACCAGCAGGCGCACATTCCCCTCCTCTGCAGAGGGCCACGGCCACGGCCCGCCTCTGCAGGTCCACCGCCGTCACCAGCGCAGACGCGGCCAGACTGCCGAAAGAGATGTGCGACCGGAACATGTCCACCTCGGCACTGTCGTCTTCCTCCTCCCTTCCTCTCTCCTGCCGCCCCCCCTTCGTCCTTCTCCTCCTCCTCCTCCTCCTCCTCCTCCTCCTCCTCCCTCGTCCTTCTTCCTCCCCCTCCTCTGCCCCTTCTCAGGGTCCTAGCACGTGGGGTGCGCACACCTTCACGGCACCCGGTCTGCCCACAATTTTCTCGTCGGCGGCGGGGCAGAGGCAGTCTGTTACAGCGTTCGGCGCATCGGGGCAAGCGAGATGCGAGTTGTCTGGCGTGCCAAGGGGGAGGAAAGATGGCGAGGGCGGCCGCGCGGGGGTAGGATGGGGAGGGGCGCTCAGACGTGGAAGAGTCACGGTCTACCACCACTGCAAGCACATGCTTTAGGAAGCCTTGATGCAAGGAGTCTGGAGACACAGCCTTCGTCGACGCTGAGCTTCGCAAGATGCCCCAAGCCTCCACGCGCCCATCGGGAAATCAAAACTTCTCGTGGGGTACACGCTGGCAGGCCAATTTCTTGTGGGTCGCTACTTCCACGTGGCGGAAACACCGTGACGGCATCTGGGGACCGTACATCCATGCATACATACATATGTACATACACAGAGACATACATACGTACAGACGCACAGACATAGTGACACAGAGACATACAGTCATATAGACATACAGACATACATTCATACCAACAGGCACACATGCACACATGCGCACATGCACACATCCACACATACATGCACACATACATACACACATACACATGCATACACATGCATACATACATGCATGCAATTGTACATAGCACAGAGTACATACATGATTACATACATACAGACATACAGACATACATACATACATACAGACAGACAGACAGACATACATACACACATGCATACATTCATGCTCTTGTCATGTATTTCCATTGATCCGGGGCGGACGGACCCCCCCCCTTCTCGGAACGGCATCCCCGGCATCCGGGGTCCATGGACGCCCCCTCAGATGATCCCGCAAGATTCCTGGGCCTCTGGCAATCCCTGCCAAGCCGTGCAAGGGGGTCGGCGGCGCCCAAAGACTCCCAAGACGGTCCAAGATGGTCTCCAGCGGCCCCAGAGCCCCGCCAGGCGCCCGAAAACAAGCCAAATATCACCCCCGAGAAGCTTCCGAAACGCAGAAATGGTTGAATGTCCGCTGGTGTTTGTATGCTTTGGGGCTGTTATTCGGTATAGATCACCGGGGGCCTTGGCTACCCTAGGCCCTACCCAAGGCCCTAGGCTTCCCAAGGGTAGGCCCTACCCAAGGCCCTAGGCTTCCCAAGGGTAGGCCCTACCCAAGGCCCTAGGCTTCCCAAGGGTAGGCCCTACCCAAGGCCCTAGGCTTCCCAAGGGTAGGCCCTACCCAAGGCCCTAGGCTTCCCAAGGGGTAGCCCTAGGGTAGCCTAGGGGTGGGCCCCAGGGGTAGCCCCAGGGTAGCCCTAGGGGTAGGCCCTAGGGGTAACCCTTTATTGCGGATTACAATATGATTCCTTTGGTCGGGCGGGCGGGCGGGACATTAATAGCATTGGTTGCCTTGGTGGCGGATTACATATATTGATTCCCTGTGTGGTGGATTATCAACTGATTATTCTTGTCGGGCGGGCGGGCGGGACACTAAAGGCATTGATTGCATGTGTGGCGGGTGGCACACTGATTCTTATTGTGGCAGATTACACATTGATTCCTTTTGTCGGGCGGGCGGGCGGGACATTCAAGGCAATGATTGCTTGTGTGGCGAATTACGAATGGATTCTCTTTTATTGCGGATTACAAACTGATTCCTTTTGTCGGGCGGGCGGGCGGGACAGTAAAAGCATTGGTTGCTTTGGTGGCGGATTACAAAGTGATTCCATGTGGCAGCGGGTTACAAGTTGATTACTAGTGTGGCGGATTACAAGCTGATTCTTTTGGTCGGGCGGGCGGGCGGGACATTAAAGGCATTGCTTGCTTTGCTGGCGGATTACATATTGATGCCCTTTGTGGCGGAGTGGGAGTGGAAGAGGAGGAGAAGGGGGAGGAGGAGCAGGAGGGGGAGGCGGAGGGCGACGATGACGACGACGACGACGACGACGACGACGACGCTCCCGCCGCCTCCTCCGCCTCCGCCGCCACCTCCTCCTCCTCCTCATCCTCCTCCTCCTCCTCCCCCTCCTCCTCCTCCTCCTCCTCCACCTCCTCCTCCTCCCTCGCTACTCCCTCGATCCCCTGCTTCCCCCCCCCCCGCTCCCCCTTCCGAGGGCAGGGCGCCCGCGCCGCCCCCCGGCGACCGCGGCCCCGGCGCCGCAGACCCCCCCTCGCAGACCCCCCCTCTGGGACCCCCCCTCGCTGACCCCCCCTCGCAGACCCCCCCTCACAGACCCCCCCTCTGGGACCCCCCCTCGCTAACCCCCCCCTCGCAGACCCCCCCTCGCTGACCCCCCCCCCCCTCTGGGACCCCCCCTCTGGGACCCCCCCTTCACAGACCCCCCCTCGCTGACCCCCCCTCTGGGACCCCCCCTCGCACACCGTCCCCCCCTCGGGGATTCCCTCCCCCCTCTCGGAGACTCGGAAGACGAGGGGCCAGGAGGAGGGAGGAGGGGACAGACCTAGGGTAGCCCTAGGGTAGCCCTAGGGGTAGGCCCTAGGGTAGCCCTAGGGTAGCCCTAGGGGTAGGCCCTAGGGGTAGCCCTAGGGTAGCCCTAGGGGTAGGCCCTAGGGGTAGCCCCAGGGTAGCCCTAGGGGTAGGCCCTAGGGTAGCCCTAGGGTAGCCCTAGGGGTAGGCCCTAGGGTAGCCCTAGGGTAGCCCTAGGGGTAGGCCCTAGGGGTAGCCCTAGGGTAGCCCTTCCTTGGGTGATCTATAAATGTTATTCGACTAGTTGCTTTTCCGGGCGTCCGAAAACGCCCGAGAGGCACGGGAAACCGCTCCAAGACGACCTACAAATCAATTTCTGACACTCCAACGGGGCCCCAAGACGACCCAAGAAGGACCAGAAATTACCCACACAGGGCAACCATGACGGCCCAAAATTGCCACAAGACGTTCTCGGGAAGCATTCAAAACGTGACCCGAGACCAGTGTTAGCAGCATTGTGGCCCGAGGACCCCCCAAAGGCCGCTAAGAGGCGCCAGGGACGTCTCCAAAGGTGCCAAGGAACCTCTAAACAACTTTCGCGAAGTCCTCGAGAAGATCGCCTCGGAGGCACAAACAAATCTGAAGACAACGGGGAAAGGTCTCGCTGGAAATTAGGGCGAGAACGAGGAAGAGGAAAAGGACACTTGAAAGAAGGAGAAAGAACAACAGTATCATAACGGAGATGGCGACAACTGCAACCAATTACGATCGATGTTGCATTGACCTGCCTCTCTCATTTTGCCTGCATGTTCGATGTGACGGACCAGAGTGCACAGCGCGAGGCGCCACTGTAGTCTGATACAAGTGCATGTGTATATGCACATCGATATGACACACTGCAACTACGCATAAGGGTGGGGGGCAAGCGCGGGGCGGGCCGCGGGTGCGTCGCGGGCGGGTCGCGGGTGGGTCGTCGCGGTGTGGGTCGCGGATGGGTTGCGGGTGGGTCGCAGGTGGGTCGTCGCGGCGTGGGTCGCGGATGGGTTGCGGGTGGGTCGCTGGTGGGTCGCTGACGGGTCGAGGGTGGGTCGCGGGTGGGTCGCGGATGGGTCGCGGACGGGTCGCGGGTGGGTCGCGGATGAGTCGCGGGTGGGTCGCGGACGGGTTGCGGGTGGGTCGCGGGCCGGGTCGCGGGTGGGACGACGACAGCATCAACGAACATTTTGAGACTGTCCGCTCTTATCCGCTCGCGTGCAATTCAACATGTACATCCTAAACCCACCCGCCCCCGTCGTCTTCGATCGTACCCCCCTTGGGAACTTGTATTCATTGCCTGCCACGCGTAATTGGCGCAGCCCCTAAAACAGAAGAAAAAAGGGAGGAGGGAACAAAAAAAGGGGTTGGGAGAAGGATGGGGCACGAGAGAAATTTGCAAGAGGGGGTTCGGAGCAAGAAAACAAACAGGCGGGAGAACCTGACGGGCGGGTCGGGCGGGCGGACCTTGATGGGCAGGCCACGCGGGCGGGTCCAGACGGCCAGGTCGAGCGGGCGGGTCGTCGAAGCGTCAATCTAACACGAATCGCAAAGAAGTTTCGAGCGATAGCGCGGTTCCCCCGTGAAACGTCAAGAAATCCAAAAAGCGGAAGCGTGATTCCTGAATAGTGGGGGCTCGGCGCCGTAATACACTGCATGGAAGTACCCCGCGAAAGCGCGATTCCTGCAGCAATGCGGAAGAAGTGCCGCGCGAGAGCGAGATTGTGAAACACATCTTGACGAAGTGTCAGGCGACCGCTGCCGAGTCCCACGAGGAGCCCTTTAACTGACATTACCTGCACTGGGCTGTGGGGATCAACAGTTATTATTCTGTAGAATTGAGAACCCAACAGCAGTAAGCAAGAGCAATCCACACTGCGGAACCCCAACTCAGCCACGCACCCACGGGCAACGTCTGACCGCTTGGGACCGTCATTATATACAATATAAGTAAAGGTATATGTATGTGTATACAAATATACAAGTACATGCATCTACATCTATTCACATCTGAACATACATGCATACATGCATGCATGCATACATAAGTACATGCGCATACATACAAACATATGTATATATATACACATACATACATGGTATAGATATGAACATTTGTACCTGGACCGATACCGTGAATAATTGTATACATAAACCAACGTATCTGACTTGATTTCGGGCCCAGCGGGCCGGCTGTGTCCGAAGCGCCCCTGGAAGTCCCCAAGACGGTCCCAGAGTGCCCCAAGAGGGCCCCAAGACGGGCAAAAGGGGCTCGAAGAGGCCTTCCGGACGGTCCAGGAACGTCCAATTTGAACGGCAATTGCCAGTCCATGTTGGGCATAACCGTAAGAGGGCAGATACAATAGGATGGCGATGGGACGGGGGAAAATCTTTCTCTCCTATCCAGCGCAGGGCGCGCGAACAACGACAGCAATCGCCCGTCGGCGATGGGAGGTACGTTGCCTCGATGCGGCGTGCGCGATTTGACTTCGCGCATGCAACTAGGTCTGGTGGCCGGCCATGACTTTCAGACGCATGTCACGATCGTTAGTGCTGTTGGTTTGGCCATCCGCCGTCGTGTCGCGGGCGTCGCGCCACCGCGCGCTGTCGATGATGCTGGGGTCTAAGATCTGCCCTATCCAACTGCCATGTCCAAACGATGTATACTTCCCCAGGTCTTTCGAAATCTCTGCTTGGAAGAGACTTGCATGCTGATTATGTGCCAAGCGCGAGGGGCACTTGATTGCGTGGCCCACCGTTTTCACGGAGGCGCTTGAGCTCGCAAGGCCTCAGGGTCCGCTTGATGAGTCAATGTAGCGTTGCCAGAGTAGGGCAACATTCGTCCAAAATGCAAGCGACGGAAAACCCTTCGGCAGCGTAGCCAGGCCTGAATTGAAGACTCTGATGTTTGCGGAGGCTTTCGACGCAGTGCGCGACCTCCTCTTCAGTGCTCATGTTTTCACGACGCAGCAGATTGCATCCACGAAGGCCGCAACCTCTGGTCTCGCCGCACTCTTCGCCGAGGAGCTTCCGACGCCCAGGGTTGCCGCGCAGGTCCAAAATGCCATCGGGAGCCATGGCTTGGCAGATGATCCTCCTAGGTTCCTGCGACAGCGCGCGGGCATGGGCGTTCAATCGTCTCGCCTGTATATTCGCCTGTTCCCGGATGCACTGCAAAGAGACAATCTACACCGTGACCCTGATTCAGGTCAGGGCGGGGCGCGCGAGGGGCACCCCGCAGGCCTACAAACAGGTCACACACATTAGTGCTAGCATTTGTGTTTTTTGGGGCACCTACAAGATCGCGATTTCCAATCGGGTGACATTATTTGACGTACTCGTCGTGATCCACGATGGCATCCAATGCTTCCGTCTTGGCGCACCTCACTCCACCCTCCGTGTATGTACGTTGGTTCAACTTGCGCGTGCCAAATACCTGCTCGACTTGTTTGACGCCAGCGTCTATGCGTGACTCCTCCCCGCGCATATTGACGTCGTCCACGCGCTCGGCTGTGAATTGGTCCTTGGTGGCCTCAAACTCCTGGTTGTTAGACATGGATTTGAAGCCGATGCTCCCCATGGTCTCGTTAAGCTCGGGGGAGAACTCTCGGGGGGCACCCTTGGCGCCGGTGCCAGGCTTGATGCATTTTAGACAACGTCGTGACTTGTCGTGGTTCTCGAAGCCGGGCAAGGTACGGAGGACAGCTCGCTGACAGGAGGTAGGCTGAAACATGCAGTGCGATCCCGCTCACCTGCGGCTTCGGCCAGTTCTTGCAAGTGAGGCCTTCTAGGAGAGCCTTATCCACATCGAGACTGGCCAGGATCCAGTCATGGTGACACGCTGCCTCGCTTGCGAACGAGCGCCGGGAACTGCGCCGCGCCGCTCCGGGGCATGCTCTCACGGAGAGAGGCACCTGGTGGATGGGGCCCGGCAACACAAGGCGCAGTCGCATACTCCTTTCCATGCTTGCCGGCTCTGTCTTTGCCGACTCCCATGCGCATGCGTGCCTCGAGGCCGCGGCGCGCAGGCTGGTGCCCTGAGTCCGCTCCTGATGCCATCGCGGCGCGGCCGGCCCTGCATGGCGAGGACCCTTCGGCGGCCGCCCGAGCCGCGGTCACTGTCGCGAGCGTTGCGCGACAGACCCCCGGCGGAGCCGCAGAATGTGCTCCGAAGGGCCCCCTCGGAGGCCCCGTGCGCCATGGCGCGGGGGGGGCAGGCGTCGTCGTCCAGATTTTCGAATCGGATCTCGTCATGCACCGTCGCATGATCGGTAAACGAGCCTTCCCCAACTCCTTCCACCGCTCTGCGCTGGCATTTGTCGCTCCAACTGCGACTGTCCTCGGGGTCTCGCTTGATACGGTAATCGATTCGGCTCTTGTCGTGGCCCTCCATAGCATGTCGTAGCGGTGTCGTAGCGCTCCACAGCGTCGTTTGAACATCGGGTAAAGACACTGCCCGGTGGACTCTGTGAAGTACAGCTGCTCTTGCTGGTTGTCTCCCGGTAGGTCTAACTATTCCACGGTACTAGTGAGCAGTGTGCCTGAAGTGGGGGCGCTGCTTTGTCCTGCGGGCTTTGCCAGGCTCGTACTAGGTGCTGCGTTGATCCACACTTGAACCATTTCATGGCCTGGCCGTCCTTGCCGGTGGGTCTCCGTCGTCGGTCCTTACCTTGGCAAAAAAATCGACGTCTGCGTATGTCGCCCTTTCCCAAGAGTTTTGCCGCGATCGCCGAAGAACAGCTCCTCGCAGGCGTCCTCTTGCGAGGGCGTCCACGTACGTCTGATTGCCTTTGCTGGTGAGGCGTCGGCGACCTCGGCGGCCGCCTTCGCCCCTGCTGCCCTTGATAGTCCGTCTGATGAATCGGCAGACTTGGCGATAGGCTTGCGCTTGTAGCGCCTCCAGCGGCCTTTGTGATACTGTTTAGGTGCAACGGATGTTGGGCAGAATGGTCCCCGGAAAGACCCGCGAGGTCATTCCGGATGTGCTCGGTCTTGTATGGTGACGAGATTGCCGTCGCCCCCCTTCGCGGGGATCCCCCAGAGTGTCGCCGCCAGTGGAACTGATGGTGTAGTCGCGGCTCGTGGGGGGCACCCAGGCAGTCACATTTTCTTGAGGGCCTTGGGGCCCGTGGGAGACTGCTGGCCATGATCTAACGCCAGGCGATCCTGCTGGGGTATCTTGTTGCCCATCTCCTCCCAGCAAAAATGTGTTCACCATGTGGTTATCGCTTCTACCGCTGCCGCCCATCAGTTGCATGCAGTCCACGATGTGGCGTCGGCGTCTTGTAGCCCCCAGCAGTCCGTCGTAGTCCTACTGGGTCCCCGGCATCATGCCGGTCAGCGGTTGGAGAATCGACGAAACTTCGTGTGTTGGGACACAAGAAGGCTTGCATCAATGTTGCAAATTACGAATGCGAATTATCGAACCGACGTCCAGCCGTGTCGGCTTCCGTCAGTGCTATGTCCCACCTGGCCAATACACGGGAATCCTTGCAGCGTTGTGGACGCGGAAGCCCCTGAGTTCTCGTCCTGCTGTAATTGACGCTCGTCCTCTACACCCTCGAACCTTTGCGCAAGATCGTACAATAAAAAACGCCAATGCCTGCCGCTCCGAAGTTGATGGCTACTGGTGGTATCCGCATGGCGGCACTGCGTACTAAGCCTTGGAGGCCTCGCTGGAGTGCAGCGGCCTGTTGGGATGGCATCACTCGTCCAGAGTGGACGTTGAACCATGCGTGTTCCTCGGCGGAATGCTACGTTCCCAGCCAGATTCCATGAGGGACCTCTGGTTGTTCATGCTCTTCCGGGGCCCCAGCCCCCAATTGCAAGGGCTTCCCCGTGCCTCGGGGCCCCTGCCTGGGGCTTCCCGAGTGAGCTGTCCAGGGGCCAGAAGAGTCCAAAGGGGGACCCAAGCCGGCCCAGGAGAGCCCCCGAGTCGCCCCAACTGCGCTGCGAGACGCACGGAAGACGGCCCAAGAGGCGACCGAGACGGCCCCAGATCGTCAAAAAATCCGTCGGCCTTTGATCCCCGAGCGTCGACAGCAAGGAGGAACTGGCGACCCCCTGAGTGATGACACCCCCTGGAGTTGCCTGGTTGCCCAGTCCCTTCTGGGTGTGCCGTGGGGGGGAGGGAAGGAAGCGGTGGCGTGTGCACGGATGCGGTGGGGTGGGACAGGGGGCGCGCTGGAAGAAGAATGACAGGAGGAACACAATATCAGCAGGAGGAGAAGAAGACAAGGGGCATGCTATCTGGGAGACGTCGAGCCACTGCCATGATATCCATCCGCCCCAGTCCCCTCACCCGCCTCCTGGACACCCCCGAGATTTTGGAGGAGCAGCCACACGGCAGCAACATCAACTTTCGGAGGTCGGCGCCGCTTGCTTCGATCGGCGCTGGGCCCCCCCTCCCTGGCGCGCAGAGCGCGCCAGGGGCGGCGCCCGAGGCGCCGCCAGCGGGGCCCAGCGCAGATCCACGAAATCCGCGCGGAGCTCCGAAAGTTTGTTCATGCCCTCTTATCTCCGTCGAACAACGGCGACCCCCCTCGGCACTGACTGGTTACCAAAACCCTCACAGCGCCCGCGCGTGGTCTCGGCTGAGCCAGACGCCCCGCGAAGCCCGCCGTCGTAGCCCTCCTGCGCGCGGAGGAGGCAGGAGGCAGGAGGAGGCAGGATACCTCTGGATCTGGATGAATGACGGGTGAAAAACACGGGCTCCAACCCATAAGGAAGAGGAATAGGAAAGGGCAGGGAGATGAATGCGCTACAGGTATGGGTGCGGGATGCCGGACCCCGAGGGGGTCTCTCGTTCGAGCGAGTAGCCCCACCCAACAATACACACTCACAGACTCCACGGAATTCCACCCCGCGGACTCTAGTGGTCGGACAGGTAAGGGTGCTAGTTGTCAGCTCGTGAGTAAAAGCTTTCATCGTCAGCCTGTGCGATAAATAACGAGCATCTAGACTCTACAGTGAAAGCGAGGGCATCGGCAGACTAAATCCTGTGAAGGGCCAGGTTCCGTTCACCACATAAAGAGCGCTGGAGGAGGCGGGGGGAGGCGGCAGAAGGATGGGGGAGGAGGAGGAGGAGGAGGAGGAGGAGGAAGAGGAGGGGAGGAGGAGAAGGGAGGAGAAGGAGGAAGAGGCGGATGAGGAGGAGGAGAAGGGAGGAGGAGAAAGAGGAGGAGGAGGAAGATGAGGAGGAGGAGGAGGAAGATGAGGAGGAGGAGGAGGAAGAGAAGGAGGAGGAGGAGAAGGGAGGAGAAGGGAGGAGGAGGAAGAGGAGGAGGAGGAGGAGGAGGAAGATAAGGAGGGCGGTCTGCCCTGCCCGAGAACGAGGCTCGAGGAGGTCCGGCGACGTCACCTGGCCAACTCGTCGACTCCATCCTGGGCCAGGGATCGCGCACATTAGGAGGCATATGCTGGGAATTACTCGTCGCGGGAACGATTGAGCAAATGAAGCCCGATTCATGGGCCATCCCGCTGGAGCCGCCCAAAACTTCAAGCTAATAGAACTAGGACTCAACACAACCCATTGTCACGATGCTAGATCAAACCTGTTCTCGACCACAGATATACCAGCGCCGATGCTGAATCTTACACCCTGATGGGGAACTCGGCTACTGCCAGAAGAAACGGCACACGTGGAGCCTTTCTCGTACCCCCAGATGTGAAGAGGAACTGGGACACACAAATAAATACACACAAATAAAAGTATCCCGCATATTTCTCCATAGTTTCTGGGTTTTTGTCTTCCCCCCACTTCCCATATTTTCCCATATTTTCTGGGAATCGCCGATTAATTGTGTCTGTGTGTTTTTTTCCCCTCCTGAAGATAGCCTGGATGCACAAGGCGCGGCCCATGAGCAACTGTGAAGGGACCTCAGGAACAGCAACTCCTTCCCAGACCCGAGTTGTTCCGAATGCTATCCCTCATGCCGGCGTCTTGACTGCATACGCAGCCATAGCTGGGCAACGGAAGCAACTGCGCCGATCCTGGGCCCAGGATGGGTACTCCAGATTTCGTAATAAAGGGACGGGGGTCTCATTTCGGGGGGGGGTCTCTTCCAGGCTATCTTGGAGGGCCTGGGGGGTCTGGGGACGGTGTTTTGGAGGGTTCTCCCACGGGGGAGGTCTGAGATGGCTTGTCTTGGAGGGTCCAGACCCCCTCCCTTTTATTACGAAACCTGGAGCAACCAGTCAGGACTGGCGAGGAGGTCCGTTGACGCCCGCCACAAGGAGAACGACGATCGGGGGGGAAGGTGCACTCCGTCGAACGACTCGCGATAACGCCCGGTACGAAGGATTGCAAACAAAACCCTCGAAGGATTGCAAAAAAAAACCCTCGGAACGAAGGATTGCAACAAAAACCCTGGAAGGGTTTGTTTGCAATCCTTCGTTCAAAAACAAACCCTCGAAGAGTTGTTTTGCCTTTTTTTTTTCAATCCTTCGTTCAAGGAACGCCCCCCCCTTTCCCTTCCCCCCTGTCGCGTCACGCTTCGTGCCGTCGCTGTCTGGGAATGGCTGAGCGCCGACGCAAATCGGAACGTGAACGGACCCCGGCCCCCGTCGCCCCACCACCCCGGCAACGCCAGGTGTCGCCAGAGGGTAGGCACACCTTCGAGAATCTCTCTCTCTCTCTCTCTCTCTCTCTCTCTCTCTCTATATATATATATATATCACAGTGAGGGGGCCAAACGGTCATTCACTGTCCCTGAGGTCCCTGCGTGGCTGAAGTGGAATTCCGCGGTGCGGATTCTCGTTGTTGTTGTTGTTGTTGTTTGTTGTTGTTGTTGTTTGTTGTTGTTTGTTGTTGTTGTTGTTGTTGTTGTTGTTGTTGTTGTTGTTGTTGTTGTTGAACAGCATTTATTCTAAAGAATAATTATTGTTGGGACCCCTGGTGCGCGCCCCCCTCGCCGCGCCTAGGCCGCAGCCACATTTTCATTATTTTCGTGAGGAAGTCTCAGGCAAAACGTGGGTGTCCGGATCCGGTTGTTTTGTTGACGCCCGCTTTCCCTTGCAAAAAACACTATAAAATGAAATTTTTTGTTCTAACATAACCAAACTTCAAGAATCCTTTTGAAAACAATGACACGAAGTGCACACTCGCGCGCGCAAGATGAAATCCTTCCAAAACCTTAGTTTTCGTAGCGATTTTAACATAAAAACATGAAAAACCCAATGGTTTTTCAAACAAAAAAGTTTCAAACATTCATCTTGCGCGCTCTTGCGGATTTCTGAGGAAACCCAATATTTTTTCAACATTTCTGTCAAACGGGCTCTTGCGAGCAACTTTTTCACGTGCTTCGAACTTCTGCAACAACGGTTGCGCGCATGCCAGGGCCATCATCCCTGTCAAATAATACCATATTGGACACATTCGTTTTTTCTTCGCGCGCGCACGCCGTCGTCGTCGGCCGCGGGGCCCTGAATAGTAGCCACGGTCGTCCGCATGCCACGAAGTGAAGTGTCCGAACGTCATAGGGCGGGAAGCTGGGTGTGGGTGGGGGCGAAGAGTCAGTCGTTTGGAAATTTGGTAGAGCTTGAACCGGCCCCCCACAAAGTGGGGGTATTGCCCGCCTCCTATGAAAACCCTGGCACTGGTGAGAACGGAGTGTCCCCACGTGCTAGTAATTGTTGTTGTTGTTGTTGTTGTTGTTGTTGTTGTTGTTGTTGTTGTTGTTGTTGTTGTTGTTTGTTTGTTTGTTTGTTTGTTTGTTGTTGTTGTTGTTGTTGTTGTTGTTGTTGTTGTTGTTGTTGTTGTTGTTGTTGTTGTTGTTGTTGTTGTTGTTGTTGTTGTTGTTGTTGTTGTTGTTTGTTGTCGTCGTCCCGCCCGCAACCCGCCCCGCAACCCGCCCGCGATCCACCCCGCGACCCACCCGCGACCCACCCCGCGACCCACCCCGCAATCCACCCCGCGACCCACCCCGCGACCCACCCCGCGACCCACCCCGCGACCCGCCCACGGCCCACCCCGCGACCCCCCCGCGACCCCCCCGCGACCCGCCCGCGGCCCACAAACCACCATTTTCGGCGCCTGCGGCGGGTTTTTTTTGCATTCCTTCCAGGTGGAGAGCCCGCGACCCACCCCGTGACCAGCTCGCGACCAACCCGCGACCCAAACCACGTTCAGGGTACAAACCACATTTTTCGGCCCCTGCGGCGGGCATCCGTTGCATTCGTTTCAAGTGGAGAGCCCGCGGCCCACCCGCGACCACGTTCAGGGTACAAACCACATTTTTCGGCGCCTGCGGCGGGCATCTTTTGCATTCGTTCCCGGTGGAGAACCCGCGGCCCACCCGCGACCCAAACCACGTTCACTGTACAAACCAATGTTTGGGGCGCCTGCGTCGGGCTGCGTTTGCATTCCTTTCAGGGGGAGGTGGAGAGCCCGCGACCCACCCGCGACCCAAACCACGTTCACTGAACAAACCAATGCCGCACAAGCGCGGCGGCGGATTTTTGCATGCCGCCTGAGCCCGCAAGGACCTCTTCAAGCCCCGCGCATCCACACCAGCCCGTCCAGCAACTCTGCCCTGGCGAGTTGCCTTAATCAAAGAAGGCGGGGAGCATAAAGTGGAAAAAAGGATTGCGTTGCAGTTATCTTGGGAAAGGAGGGGAGGCAGGAGGAGTAAACAGGGGACGAGGAGAACGCGGAAGAAGAGAGGATGTAAGGATACTGTGGAGAAAGAAAAGGAGGAGGAGCAGGAGGACGAGGAGGGGGAGGAGGGGGAGGAGGAAGACGAGGAGGGGGAGGAGGGGGAAGATGATGATGATGATGATGATGATGATGATGATGATGATGATGATGATGATGATGATGATGATGATGGACGACAATGGGAGGACGATGATGGAGGCCGATGAGGGGGAGGACGACAATGGGAGGACGATGATGAAAGGACGAGGGGGGGAGAGGGAGGACGAGGAAGAAGAGGAGGAGGAGGAGGTGGAGGAGGAGGATGACGATGACGATGAAGACGAGGACGAGGAAGAGGAGGAGGAGGAGGAGGAGGAGGAGGAGGAGGAGGAGGAGGAGGAGGAGGAGAGCGCCAACGACAGGGAACGTGGGGGCCACGAGGTCCGCCGGCTCGACGACGCCCGCGTCGCCCGCGCCCGCCCCCTCACTCTTATCCGCAATTGCGGGGTGCTACGTATATATATATATATATATATAGATTGCTGTGTTGTTCCCAATGCTCGGGGTGTTTGGAGGCCCCTGGGTGCACCCGGCTCCAAGGGCGATGCTGGCGACCTCGTCGGCCTCCCCTTGAGGTGCGAATGGTGGGCCTACTTTCCACGACCATCATTACAAAATCAATGGCGGCTGACCTATGGTAATACTTGGCTGTGCGGGGCGCCGACCGCGTCCAACAATCCGATAAAACAGGTGAACCACCCATGGTCCAGAGCGATTGTAACGAAAGCCCGCGAGCAAATAGTCTGCGGGCTTGGTGCGCGGCTCTGCAGTATAGCTGGGGCGCAGGTTGCAGGTAATGCCAGGCAGATGCCGCGGGAGACAGGCTTGCAGCGCGCACCAGCGCAGTTACCCATCTCAGTCCGAAACAATTCGGTTGGTGCCAGAAGAGCTTCCCATACCCCACGCAC